TTAGAAGAATTTTTTCACTATGTAACAAAAAACAAAATTTGTTTAATTTACTGTTTGTATTTTGAGAACGATTTCCGAATTGGAAATTGAAACGTCAATAAACGTATTTTTATCTTTAATTGTGGCTTATTCCCAGTTATAAATAGTAATTAAATAAAGTAAATTGTAAATAAACAATGAATAGTTTCAATCAGGGTGATTTTCTAGGAAGTGTGAAAAAACCCATTATTTTTTTAAGCAATTTTCAAAAACCTAAAGAAAATGTCACTGTGAAGAGGAAACGAAAAAATATGGGACATCAGTGGAAATTAATTGTAAACAATAGGTAAAAGATTACATCAAATATATGGGCTTTGTAGATAAGTCTAATATCTTGATCTTGCTACGAATGGGATAGAAAATTAAATTTTACAATGTTCAAAATAATATATTTGAATTGTATATTTTGTATACAACCGGTTAGAAATTTAAAATTTACAAGTGAAAGTTATATAATAATGTTAATGGATGGTAATGGCAATTATTAAAATTTCTATCAAACCGAAACACATTGCAAAATAAGCTTATTAATAATGAGTTTCATCTGTAGTGGTTTTCATTATAATAGCCTATCAATAAAATATATTTTCTATTTAGTTTGTACTTATTTAGTTTTGATTATAATGGTCAAAGGGTAAAAATATTGATATCAAAGGAAAAAGCGGGCACTTAACCTCACCAGACAGGAATCTGATTGAACATGTATGAACATAGCAATATTCAATATCTTAAGATCAATAATATTTATCACTTCCATTGATCGGTCGCTATGTAATTTTCATTATTAGATGCCCATCTTCGGTTTTGAGTTTTGGCAACAAATGTCAGGCATTTGAAATATGCCTAAAAAATGATAAACTTTCACAGTACAACAGTGGCGGCTTTTGGGGGTAGGCAGGATAGGCCCGACCTACAGAATAATTTTAAGATCTTTACAATTGAAAAACATATATTCAAAACTTATGTTAATGCATGTAAATAACTTTTAAATGAACTAAATCACTCAATACATTAACATCCGTTAAAACAACTATGTTATTATATCACCACAGAAAGCATCGAATCGTATTCAAGCATTTTAAATATCATTAATAGGCCCAATCGGAACTGGCCGACCCAGCTCATATAAGATCCCCGCACAAAAATCGTTTGAAGTTAAGCAGCTTGCTGGACAACGATTTTTATTGTCGTGTTTATGATTGCTGTTTAGGCACCAGACGATCGGGCCTACGCCGACCATCGTTGTCACTTGTAACGTAATTATCGAATTGTAATATAAATTTTCTTTTAAATTATGATAAAAAAATATGTAACATCTATATGTAAAAAGAATATGTAATCTATAATTGTAACAAATGTGTTGTATGAGAACGCCATAAATAACTCCACATTTTTTGCATGCATTCTTGATGAAACAACCGATATTACTGAAAGGGCACATTGTTCAATAGTATGCAAATTAGTGGATACAAAAGGCGTTGTTCACGAATATTTCTTAGGTTTTTTTAATATAAGGGAAGACCGAAGTGCTCCAGTGTTACGTGAATTACTGTTTAGTGTAATTGGTAAATTTGACCGTAAAGCTAAATTAATTACTCAAACCTACGATGGAGTTATGTCGGGACAACTTACTGGCCTTCAAAAATTAGTGAGAGATTCTGCACCATTAGTAATATTTACCCATTGTGTCGCTCACCGCCTCAACTTAGTTTTATAACAAAGTTGCTCCAACATTACAACAGTCAAAATATTATTCTCAACGCTTCAAGGTATTCCAGCTTATTTTCACCAATCGTCTAAACGGTCCTATTTTTTAAATAAAATACTTGGAAAACGAATTACCACAAATAGTGAAGTAAAATTGAATTCAAATGCAAAAGTAGTATATGCTGTGTCACAAGAAAGAAAAAAAATTGTTACAAATCTTTCAGGACATAATGAATTGCCCAGAATCAAATGCAAAATCAGTTAGGCAGGCAGATGGTTTTGTGTGCCAATTCAGTGTCCAGAAGTGCTGCAATGTTAAAGAGCTGGAGAAATGACCTTACATTTCCTAACCATTTCAACATTGCTGTTAGCGAAACCAATTCTAAAATAGTGAACTTGATACTTTACCTGATAGTTCATCTAATAACGGAGATCAAAGTTTTTTGAAGAAACCTAAAACTAAATTTAGAAGGATCTTTTTTGAGATTTTGGACAATACGTTTCTCGGATTACAAAAAGTTTCAATAACTGGAATTGAGCGATAGTAAAAGATTCACAGAATATGGCGCTAAATTTACGATGTAATTTGCTGGCTTGCTACCCAAAATTTTACCACACCAGCCGCCATTGCAGTAAAAACGATCTAAAATGTTTAAAACCTGCTTTTTTTGATTACACAAGTTCGTTTTCGAAACCACACAACTTCAGCTACCGGTTTCATTAATCTAAGTTCAGCTACAAATTTCAAAGAATGCCGTTTTCGTTGAAGCTTTTCCCGTAACGTGGGATTATTTGTGATGTGACTGTTTAAATTCAGCGTTTTTTAGGCATATTTTAAATGCCTCACATTTGTTACCAAAACTCAAAACTTAAATTTCGGGATATCTGTTTTGAAAATTGGTTCTAATAATAAATTCATTCCAATTCCATAGTGATCGGTCGATGGAAGTGATAAATTTTATTGATCTCATGAGAATCGTAAAAATTTCTAAACGTTTATTTAACACCTTTATAGAGACTGACTTTATTTGCGGCAATATGCCAAAATTTTCTCAGAAAGTTGTACTATTCACCTTTAAAATGGATATTGATTTTTGTAGAAAGGACAATCTTATCAATAGATATAGAATTTTGACCGTAGAGTTGATACAAATTTTATTTAAAATTGATTTTGCTCGCGTTTAAAAATCATCGGTTGCTTCAAGTGTTGTTTCTGAGAGAACGATATATTCTACACAAAAACTACTAATAAACATTTTTTTTTAAATTAACCAAGCTACATTTTTTATTTAAAATACTTTTTTCTACAGCGTACAAATTCTTAGTAAATCGATTTTTTCCGTTTCCCTTCTCCTACGACGGGGTGTTTGAGGGGGAAGTTTTGGGGTAAATGTGGTTATCTTTTTTGCACATTTTTATGGCATGCTAACAGACGCAAAATTCCGAACCTATTTGACTTTTGTATTACAAAAGACCTTGGGATGAAAAAATTTAAAACTGAGTCCAAGTTCGACCATCCAAAATCTATCGTTCGACCATCCAAAATCTATCGTTCAACCATTCTCTAGTAATTATAAGTATGTTTTCTGATATACTACAGATACTACGGGAAACTAAACTGCACACAAAAATATAGACTGGGAGTACTTTAAAGAAAAATTAAGTGAAATGGTTGACTTAGAAATTCCGCTAAAAACAAGGGAAGACTTAGACACAGCAGCCATCAACTTTACAAAAAGTAAATATTCTTTTTGTTAAAAATAACTGCTGCTTGTAATTCAAAATCAATCTGTATATAAATACTTTTTTGAACTGACAGTTACAGAAAACACTGATAATTAATGTGGAAAGCCACAAAAAGACCTAGAAAAGACGAAACATTTGAAGATAATCTCATTGTATTCAAACCTCACGAATAGAACACACCAATTCAAGCAACTTATCAAATGAATAAAATAGAAGGATCCTGAAGATACCATGGACAGACAAAGTCACTAATGAAGAAGTACTGCGGATTTAGTCAACATCGTAAAGGGTCCTAAGCTGCACTAATTGGGACATATAATGAGAAATCAATGCAGATACGAGCTACTTCAATGCATTTTGCAAGGTAAAATTGAAGGAAAAGGGGCCCCAGGACGAAGAAGAATATCCTGGCTTGCTAATCTGAGAGCATGGTATAAAAAGACCTCAAGACAGCTATTTTGTATAGTAACCAACAAAGTCATCAAGCCACAATAATCGCCAACGTTCAGAACGGATAGGCACCCTAAGAAGATCAAATGGACTTACCATTTGGGAGTGTTAAGATTATAGATATTTATTCTCTAATAACCGGCATACTCTATACAATAACTACGTGTTATAGGATAAAAGCACTCTAGCAAATATTCAACGCAGCATTATGATTAAACTATTTCCACTATCCCTGGAAAATTGGTCAAATAATAATGATACTGAAACCTGGGAAAAAACCAAAAGAACTAAACAAATGCCAATAAATCTGATGTCGATTATGTCAAAACTACTAGAGAAAGTTATGCTTAAGCAACTGATGGAGAAAATCAATGAAAGAAAACGTATATCTGACCATCAATTTGGTTTCTGAAATAAACAAGGTACCGTAGCTTAGATTCATCGTGGGGTAGAAAAAAATCAGCAATTACCTAGAAGGTAAAAGATGCTTTATGGCATTTGATAAAGTATAGCATGAACCATGAATGCCCTATACAAAATTAAACAAAACTTACCATACCTCTTCTATGAAATGATTAAATCTCATCTGAGTATGCGGAACTTCCAAATCAAAATAAACTCAACCCTCTCCGAATTTTTTCTTATCCCTTGAGGAGTACCAGAAGCAAGCAAGTAATTAACTTACCATAATAAAATAAAAGACTCGAGAGGTTCATACTATCTGAGTTACCTAGTAGGTTATAGTTTTAATTAAGCTGTTAAAATATTTTTGAGGTTAAAATATCTTATTTTTGAATTTTGAAAGGTGAGTTCTCGTTGGAATACTTAATACAAAAATGTTTAAAAGGTTTGCCTAATTTATAAATTAAGTAAACTGATAGTCATTGGAAACAGTTATTGTCAATGTAGACAGATTGTTTGAATATATTCTCAAAAAAAAAATAAAAACTATGTCGAATATTCTAATATTTATATTTATGACCATTTTATCTTCACCTCCAATAAATCGATATCGATAGTTTATTTTAATGTTAATAAAATTAAATACTTCAACTTACCTCTGATAATTTTAATTCCTGCAAATTTCAACAAAAATCCAGTTTCACGAATATGGTAAATAATGGTCTTTCTTAAGAAATGAATTACTGTACCGTAAAAAATGAACGCAGTTGTTATTAAATCAACTTTCTAAGACACTAAATTCGCTTTAAACAAAAACGATATCGAAAGTAAGAACTACCAATGCGAGAGCAAAATGATTACCAGAAAAGTCGTTGCTTTTACAACGACAACGCTACACTGACCGCTCTCCGTCGCTAAACCATTTGTTGATCATAAGACATGGCGAGCCGTGGTTAGCTATTGCAAAAGCAAGCCTTCGGCGCGAAAAATGGTGATGACCTCTTTTATCCTGATGGTCGCTTATTATGAAATATCGAAATGGAAAATGTGTTTATATATTGCTTGTAATAAAACACCCCAAAAGTGAAATAAAAGCCTTTATGATCATTATTTTACCTTGACCCTTGTTGACAAATTTGATTACATAAGTACGTCAAGCGCAGTTCATTAAAAGTAAAACTAGTCTAAAAATTTAATTTTTTATTCTCGATTAAAACGCTCGTCAAAAGTCAAGGAGAGTTACTAGTTTTAAAAATAAAGCATTTTTTGGTCGCAATTTTTTTTTAATGCTCTGGTTCAGTGCTTTCCAAATTGATCTATATCCACCTCCAGGGGTTGATAGAAACCTGCAAGTGGTCTACGTGCGCGAAAAAAAATTGTGGGTTTATAAAATGGGAGTCGTCAATGTCAAGAAATTTCAATCATCAATCATTGTCTTCTTCTTCTTTTTATGTAAACATGACTCTGTGTGTTTTTCAATGTGCCTCCAGTAAATTGTCATTCATAGTGTCTTACCATCAATGTTTCTAAGTGTTTTCATCTCTGCTATTTCTAACATCCTTTTTGACCTCTCTGTGCCAGGTCTTGTTTCTGCCGCGTATGTCATTATTGGTCTGATGACTGTTTTGTAAATTCTGCCATTCGTTTCTTTCCCGATATTTTTATTTCTCCATATTGCTCTACTCACTTGATCTTCCACTTCGGTTTCGAGCTTTCCGTAGCTAGATAATGTGATGCCTAGATATCTAAACTCCATCACTTGTTCTGCTATCTGACCTTACAGCTCCAATTTACATCTTAGTAAATTTGCTGTTCTACCCATGCATTTTTTCTTTGTTAAGGAAATTAACATGTTAAATTTTATGGAGGTTATATTAAATTGGTGCAGCATACGTTGTAAATCATCTTCACTTTGAGAGAGTATTGCGTCGACTGCATATTTGTTTTTCTCCCATTTGGTATCATCTTTTAGTTCTTACTTTTTTTATTATTTCATCCATAATAAGGTTGAACAATAGAGGGCTCAGGGAATATCCCTGCCTTATCCCATTCCCAGCTTCAATAGGGTCGGTTAGTTCTTCTTCTACTTTTACTTTTATTGTATTGTTTTGGTAGATATTTTCGATCGTTTTGATTATTCCTAGAGGTATCTCTCTTGCATATAGTAAGTGGATAATGTATTTTAATTTTAGTCAGCTAGAGTGCGAGATTTTCGGAATCTGTTTAAAGCTCTTTTGCTTTCTTGAATTGCTGTTTTGCATGAGTCATTCCACCAGGAAACATGTTTTTTATTGGGTTAATTTTGTATTTGCCGATACACTCCTCACACAGATTCTAATGCAGTGTTTAGGTGAAGTTTACAGTGAAAAATTTCAGTTGATACGAAAATTGATGTTCCTCCGCTATTGCGTTGGTGTGTAGTTCTGATATTTATGATGATAACTAACAAAGTTTTTTTAGATGAGGTTTGTGTGTTTCTGTAAAGTTTGTTTCTTGTAAACAAATAAAGTCAGGATTGGAAATAAGTTGTTGTATGCGTGTAAGGCGATGATATAATCCATCGCAGTTCCATTGAATAATTATGAATTTATGTAACAATAAAACACTGGACACTTTGTCCACAAAATTTTTTTTAACCTCTTAACACTACAGTTGTTTCGGCTGATTGTTTTTCTCAAGTGATCTATATTTGGCATGCATTTACACTTTATAGTCTCAAATGAAATAGGTTGAGGGGGGGAGAACTGTTTGTCTCAAGTTGGTCATTCAGAATTATATCTGTGTTTTTTAATTTGTTGCTTTCCAAATATTCTAACAAGGATAGCTTAAGGCCTTTATTTTGAATGTGAAGAATTTTAAATTCGTCATTAAAAGAATGATTGTGATCTAGAAGGTGAAGTGCGTATGTAGAATCCGTGTTTCTATTATTGAAAGCCATTTTATGTTCTGCTATTCGTTTATTAAAGTTTCTACCAGTTCGACCGATGTAAGTTTTTGGGCCGTCGCCACATTTAAGTTTGTACACACCACTGTATAAGTGCTTTTTATTTTGGCTCTTGTTGTTTTTGATATATTTGCCTAGGTTGTTATTTGTTCGGAAAGTTGGTGTTATTCCTTTCTTTTCTATGTGTTTGGCTATTTTTGTTGATATTTTGCCTGTATTTGTAATCGAGCAGAAGGTACTGGGTTTATTCTCTGGTGGTGGAAATACTAATTTCAGGGCTTTCTTGTGTAGTTTTTGATTTAACATTTTATTAATTGTTTGTTCGTTGTATCTATGGAAATCAACAAATTAAAAAACACGGATATAATTCTGAATGACCAACTTGAGACAAACCTATTTCATTAGAGACTATAAAGTGTAAACGCATGCCAAAAATAGATCACTTGAGAAAGGCAAGTTTTGAGATGTGTCAGGGATGTACTCATCATCAGTTGTTTCGTGTGAGAAGTCAAGATTGGGTAATTTTGTAGAATCACCCATTAAGAGTTTTGTCCTTAATTTTTTTTATAAGAGGAGTTAGTCTATTTTTGGTTGATTTTTCATTAAGGTTGGGATAGATTTGGTATAACCTAGAAATAAATGATTTGATGTCTGGTGTGAATTTTAATGCTTCTATGTATGGATCGCTACTACCATAACAGTTTTTAAGAAGAGCAATTATGTTATCTGCTGGAATTATGAATATTTGTGCAGTTTCTTTATAAAGTTCTCGTATAATTGTTTTTGCCATTTCGAATATGGTTGAGTCCCAATTTGACCGTTTAAGTTTTTTCTTGCTTTGTGGTTTGGAAAACTAGGCATGATTATTAGTTTGTTCACTATTAGTAGATTCTTCAGTTATGCTAGTTCTGTCGGTAGGAGATGAAAGTTCTGAGTGTGTGAGTTTATAGTGTGTTTGTGTATCTGTCATATGTTGACTTGGTTGTTGTACTGTGGAGTTGTTATTTGAAGATGTAAGTGGTATATTATTGACTGGAGGAGATATCTCTGTTGGTGTGAAAGGTACAGTGTTGGCTTTTTTCACTAGACGTGAATTCGGCTCATAAATGAGATGAAACAATTGTCTGGTCAGAAAAGGTACTTTCTGGTGGATTTGTGTAATTTGAAGCGACATGCCATGATCTTTTACAAACGAAACATTCAATTTTGTCAGTAGAAAGGAAGATGCGGTTTTCATTATCTTCGACAGAGCGCAAGAGAGGTTTGGAGCTCAAAAGTTTCGGAGGGCGGAAATACATAAACTTGTCTTCTAAAGCTAAGGATATGTGAGAATTCCTCCCCCGAAATACCTGCTTTAAGAAATGATACTGGGGAAGCAATTTTTGGACCTAGGCTTTCGATAGGACTGCGGTTTCGATAATTTCATGTGGGACACACGGTGAGACATTGGATATTAAGATTCTCTTTATAGGAGAAACCAGTTTACGTATGTTTAAAGTTAGGGAGCCTATTTATATGGTAGAATGAGATTTTACAAGTTCATCTACTATGTTTTTATTAGTTAAATATATACAGACCCTGTTGTTTGAGTTTCTGGAGGCGAAGCAGATATTCCTGAGTTCGATAATATCACCTTACATAGGCTTTTACATAATCAAATAATTTGAGGCTGTCTTCGGCATGGAATATGATTGCTTGTTCTTTCTTTGGGTACCTAGGTTGGTTTCGGTGTTGTTTTCGCTGCTGTTACATATGGCATTGTAGAAGTGTTGTTGTTTGATGTAACTTGTTTGTTTCGGATTGTTGAATCTTGTTGTCATATACTTGACTTTTAGGAGTTTCATGACATGACACTTGTCTGTTGATAGATGTCATGGAACATGACAGAAATAGACATATAGGATATAAGATATACATAGGTTTACCACGCACATGTTTAATTAGTAAGTGAAATAAAGGAATATAAAATACATTCACCATTTTTCATTACGTTACAACTACATACACAACAGTTTGGCGACGAGGACGGTCGAATCTACAAGGAAATACAAATTAAAAGCCAGTATACATACATAACCTAACTGCAGCGTGGCGACCGAAAAAAAATTTAGTAATAATCTACATACATAACTGAAATCCTGTCTGATTTACAACTACATATACATTTAAAAGATGACTGAGACTTCAATCCATTCAGTTCACACCGTATTTAGCATTGAAACTTAAGATACATCCAAGAATTTTGACCGGTGGTTACAACGTCTTCAGAGTACATTCAATGTTTTTGCAGTACCAGAAGATAAGAAAGCCGCATATCTTCTACACTACATGGGTCCAAATGCATATGATATTCTTTGTGATAAGATTTCGCCGGAAAAACCAGACGAGAAATCATTTGATAAACTGGTAAATACAATGAAACTACATTACAATCCTGAACCGTTGGAAATAGTGGAAAATTTCAGATTTTCACAAAGAAAGCAACATGAAGGGGAAAGTGCCAATGAATATATTACAGCTTTACGTAGATTAGCTACAACTTGCAAATTTGGTGATTATTTAAACAAAGCCCTGAGAAATTAATTCGCACTTGGTCTTCGAAACCAAAATATTCAAAGCAGACTCCTAGAATACAAGGATCTTACAATGGAGAGAGCAATAGAAATTGCAGTCAGCATGGAAACATCAACCTTAGATGCAGCTCGATTACAGAAGTCAAATACAAGTGCTAATATAAATAAAGTTTCTAGTGTCAAGAATAAACAAGGACACATACAACCTACAAATGTGAAAAGAAATAATATTGATCCTAACCAAACTAAAAATATATTTTGTTTTAGATGCGGATCTTCACAACATATTGCAAACAAATGTAATAAAACACATTTAGTCTGTAGCAAATGTAAACAAGGAGGCCATCTGAGCAAAGTATGTATGAAAAGTAAAAGTTCAAATCAGGTAGATCAGGTGGAAGAAATTTTCAACATTCATTCAGATCATTCATACTACAGGGAAAAATTTACAATTTCAGTTGAAGTCAAG